AAACACTGAACAGTAGTAAGCCTGAAAATTTAATTTACCTTTGCATCTGGGTGTTGATTTTTACTGAGCTTTCAGATGAGTCAAGGGAACTGTAGCTGGGAGGCACACTCATCAGACAGCATAGATGTAGACCTTGCATGCTTTGGCATGTTTTCCGCCAATTCTTCGTAGATCAGCCACCCTGCTGTACTATTTTGCGGCTGGTTTCACAAAAAACAGGAAGTGAATTCCATGTTCAAAGGAATTAGCAGTTAATAAGAGAAAATATACGGATCACCTGGGATTTTAACCCTGCAGTTCTAAAATGCAAACTAACCCGTTGCGCCACTGCATCCTCTCAATCTGTAATTCATATAAGGCATGCGCAACTTTCGAATGGCTTTCTCTTAAGAAATTTAATAGTGCACCTTTCTGTAGTCCTGAAGGCTTCGCGTAAACTGAATATTTGATCTTTGCCCTTGCTGCAAATTGGTGTTTTCTTTCCACAGTGTTTACGTTTTTGTTTATGACGAAATTGTTCTTGTTCATCTGACGTTTTCCCGGAAGGTTGCCGTTGAACGTGTCTGAAAATTGTTAAACGATGCCCTACGCATGTCTAACGTGAATGTTTGCTTAGATTTGGCTGAGATGATAGAGGGACCGCTACATGGATAAATATGGAAATGCATGCCTCTTCGGCAGGGCCTGCCGTTTCTACGGCTCGTTTCGTCACCAAACGATGAAGTTGCTAGGCAAAGCGGATGGTTTTCCGTGATTTCTTAGAATTTAAAATTGATTGACAAGTGGAAGTAAAGCACAGTAAAAGGTACAGTTTTTCTCTCTCCGCACTTTCCTCGACCTCGCATCGATTTCGCAAGAGAAAGCAAAACTGCACTGGTAAATGCTCTGAACTGTCAGCTTCATGCACGATTTGAAAAATCCGGGACCACAGGTGCATTGCCTAAATAGCAGAGGTTTGATCAAGCAATTCTTGTTCCGAAGTTGTTTTGCTTGTTGAGATCACCTTGAAACTTTTTTATTAGCAGAACGTCTTTGGATGGTGACATCCGCTTTATATGTAGCTTTTCAGCACCTTTTCTGTAACGCAATTCCTCCTGCATCGCGGAAGCTCATTCCCGAGCCTCGTTTGTTTTTCTGTGTTGCATGCGGTTTCCTCTTAACGTCTGCTGTGTTTTCGCTCCCACGGGCTTGAGTAAATGGGACATCCTCAGCCAGTTTGTCTAACGTGGACAGTCTCCGTTAATTATTCTCCGTGCCTATCGAATTCACTTGTACTCAGAAAAGAATACAACCATTCCTTACGTAATCCTGCCATTCAACCTTCGTTATGCGTGGAAGCCAACACTAGTGCTATCTAGTTCAACCGTCTTTCTTGCTGCTTCGTTAGAACAGCAGTCTTCATGTCGTAAGACAGCACTGATCTGACAGGCAAAGTGCAGGCATATTTCCGTGTGAACAGTAACCCTTCTTTCAGCATTAATATTAGACATTTTTCCAAAAGTACTCGAGGTTAGAGCGGACCTCATGTTTAACTCTGGTTGGATGACGCCGTTGCCGAGAACACTTAACCCGTTTCTTCTTCTGTCCTATGGCTGGAACAGATGACTAGCGACTTCATAGTTCAATGTCATGATTTCCAAGCCAGTGAATGGCCGCCGAGGTAGCATTCTGCACATCAGTTGTATAGCCGTCGAACTTTCGCAGCAGGCATTCGGAAATAATGTGCTGCATAGTCTGATCTTCACGACTGCGGTCACACTGCGGATTGGACTTCATCTTCTAGCGATGGAGTAAATATCAACAGCGCCCTCGTCCTGTACGAATCTCGATCATACTTGGTGATTCACGTCAATGCCAGGGATTCTGCGGTCG